CTTCCGAAACGAGCCAGGAGTCAGCGGAGACTGAGAATAGGCAGGGATTCCTGGTGCAGCAGGAGCCCCTCAGTGGCACACCTGAGTGTGTGTTGTTCAGTGATAGTCCCTTCCAACTTATGGCTTATGAATGAATGACCTCTCGTTCTCCTCTCATTCACAGCCTTGGTCAGGTCCTGCAGACTGAGGGCCTTTCTGGCTAGTTTGATGTAGTGGTTAGGAGCGCAGACTCTAATATGGGAGAACTGGGTTTGATTCCCCCACTACTTCACATGCAGCTGCTGGTGTGACCTTGGGTCAGTTACACGTTTTTTCAGAGCTGTTCTCTCAAGAGCAGTCCTCAGGAGAGCTCTCTCAGCCCCACCCGCCTCACAGGGTGTCTGTTGTGGGGAGGGGAAGGGAAAGGAGATTGTAAGCTGCTCTGAGACTCCTTCGGGTGGTAAAGGTAGTAAATCCAATCTCGTCTTCTCTTCCTTGATTGAGTCAATTCATCTCACGTTGGGTCTTTTCCTGAATTATTGTCTTTTCCAGTGAGTTTTCTTGTCTTCCCATGATATGAGCAAAGTACAATAGTCTCAGTTGCATCATTTTAGCTTCTGTGGGGAGTTCAAGCTTGGTTTTATCTGGAACCTGCTTATTTGTCTTTTCAACAGGGTGGTACAACAGGTGGTATTATAATTTCCCCCTTCTGTGAGCAGTGAGAAATCTTGGGGGCAGGGCAAGCAGGTCCACGTCCCTTTGGATCTGAGGGCACTGACTAGAGATTTTGACACTGGCTGAATTTATAAGTAGGCAAGCACAGTATGTGAAAGGAACGCTCTTAAAAAGTGAGATCCACATCTTGGGCAAGGCTCAAACCTGCACCACCACTTTCAGCCTATAAACTCTCCTCTGTGTGTGAGTGCTTATTTCTAGCCCTTAAAAACTGCCAGCACACAAATCTTCTCTCTTTCCTTGGCTGCAAAGGTATAATCTTCTCCCCCCTCAAAAAGCAGAAGCCACGCCAACCACCAAGGCGGGGCTTATTCTTCTGCACAAATCAAAATCCATGTAATCCTTTTTATTAAGACTAAGCAGAAAGATGAAGAGCTGATCTTGAACACATTCCAGAAAAATGTCATAGCATTTCATAGTCTCCAATGTTTACAATTCCCCCCCCCCAAAAAAAATGCTTTTCTGCCAACTAAGGATATACATCATGCATCTGATAAGGTGAGGCTCTAGTTCACAAATGCTACAGTAAATCTATTGGTGCCACAATATGGCTTGGGGGGGGGGGGGGGGGCTAAAGGATTACCAGTGTCAAGACTCCAACAACGTTCATTCAGAGAAGTGAAGTTTATTGAGACAGTAGTGCTACAGGTATCATAACTATTTTGTGTTAGAACTGAAGAGAAAGCGTGCGAAGCAAATAGATATACATAACCCCTGATGGCCCCCAGCCAATCAGGTAGCCGGCAGAAGCCTGCCAAATTAACAACTAACATTTCCCAGGAGAAAGACTACACCAGGCACTCAAGGTCATATAACACAGAAGACAGATGATAAACTGCTGTAGGCACAGCGGAAATGAAACTCATCATTCCAAAGCAGGGGCCCCCCATCTGCATGACAGCTAGGCAGGAGGCCTAGCTGACATTCTGCCCCCTCCCAATCTCACCCACCAGGCTTAGAAGGATACATTTTGTGAAATGCACGCACAAGTCTAGGGGTATTAACATGAACATCCAGAACCCATTCATTATGGGAGTGGTCAAAGTCTTTCCACTTTATTAGATAATAAAGATGGCCACACTTAGGCTTAGAGTCCAAAATTTCAGCCACATCCTGATGCGGTTCACCATCCATCATCAGAGGTGGAGGGGCTGGTGGTCGAGGTCTTCACTTGTTCGGTCCCAGATCCTTTTTCAGCAAACTAAAATGAAATACAGGATAAACACATTTCAGAGATTTAGGGAGTTGAAGTTCAACAGCCACATCATTAATTTTCCTAAGGATCTTAAAATGACCAATACACTTCCAACCCAGTTTCCTCCTGGGTTGCAGACCCTTCAAGTTCTTGGTCGACAAATATACAGAGTCCCCAGGCTGCAAATCCCATTCAGGGGCCCTCCCCTGGTTGGCCTGGGTTCTATAATCTACCTTGGCTTTATCAAGAGTCTTTTGTATGACAGACCATTGGGTTTTCAGACCATGCCATCAGGTTTGCAGGTCCCTGGGACCAGGGTCTGGGGTATCCACTGTAGGTAGAGGGCCCCCCTCTATTGTGTATTTTAATGTATTTATGTTTTTATGGAAGCCGCCCTGAGCCCGCTCGCGGAGAGGGCACGGTACAAGTTTGATAAATAAATGAATAAATAAATACCTGTGCATAGCTTTGAAAGGAGACAATCCAGTTAAACTGTACACAGAGTTATTATAACTGTACTCTGCATATGATAGCAATTCGGCCCAATAGTCCTGTTGATAATTTGTAAAACACTGAAGGAATTGCTCAATCACCTGGTTGACACATTCAGTCTGGCCATCAGTCTCTGGGTGATGAGCACTACTGAACTTAAGAACATAAGAGAAGCCAATCAGGCCAATGGCCCATCCAGTCCAACACTCTGTGTCACACAGTGGCCAAAAATACCAGGTGCCATCAGGAGGTCCACCAGTGGGGCCAGGACACTAGAAGCCCTCCCACTGTTGCCCCCCACTGCCTCCTGTGGCAGTGAATTCCATGTGTCAATCATTCTTTGGATGAAGAAGTACTTTCTTTTATCTGTTCCAACCCAACTGCTCAGCAATTTCATGGAGTGCCCACGAGTTCTTGTATTGTGAGAAAGGGAGAAAAGTACTTCTTTCTCTACCTGCTCTGTCCCATGCATAATCTTATAAACCTCAATCGTGTCACCCCTTAGCCGTTGTTTCTCCAGGCTAAAGAGTCCCAAGCGTTTTAACCTTTCTTCATAGGGAAAGTGTTCCAACCCTTTTATCATTCGAGTTGCCCTTTTCTGCACTTTTTCCAAAGCTATAATATCCTTTTTGAGGTGTGGTGACCAGAACTGTACACAGTACTCCAAATGAGGTCGCACCATTTATTTATACAGGGGCATTATGATATTGGCTGATTTATTTTCAGTTCCCTCCCTAATAATCCCCAGCATAGCATTGGCCTTTTTTATTGCAGTTGCACACTGTCTAGACCAGAGGTTCCCAAACTTATTTGGCCTACCGCCCCCTTTTCAGAAAAAAACTTACTCAGTGCCCCCCTGGAAATCTACCTTCAAAAAGTGGACAAAAAGATGCAGTGACAGATTTGCAACCAAGGCTCCTACCGCCCACCTGGATTGTTTCAGCACCTCTCAGGGGGCAGTATT